GCTAGTACCTTCCCTAAGTTTAACCAACCCCCGAACCTAAAACAATCTAGCTTGCATTTGCATTGCATTGTGGGAATTTCGATCTTTATCCCTTCCTTTGGACAAATCAAAGTTCGGTTGCAAAATGAATTAAAGATTCAAACTAATCAATAGTTTGGTATCCGATTTTCACCGCGACAGATAGCTCAGTGGTCATTGTGGTGGCTCAAATATAGTGTTGATGGTAAAAAAAACGCAACAAATATGTGGTGGTTAGAAGTTTGAAACTCTTTTGTTTTCTCTGCTTAACTTAGTTATAAGTTAAATTTTTTGTTTGTTTCTCACTATTTTTTTTTAGTAAAATTCTCACTTTTAAATTGGCAATTTAAATTTTGTAGGTTATTTTGCTAAAAATATTTCTTCATGTTTTAAAAATTAAATTTCTCTGTTAAATAATTTGTTCTATATTATATGAATTGAAGAGTAAGATGGATTTAGATTTAAAAAATAATATTTTTTTTAACTTGTAGTGCATTATTTGTCATATGACGGTATTTTGTGTGAGAGAAAATATTTATTTTGATTTTTATATTGATTTTTTTTTCTTTTAAATTCAATGTTTTATAGTCATCTATATATAATAAAAGATAACTACATACAAATATTTGCATACATGTGACTTTTTGTTATCTATATTTCCTTCGTTTTAAAATGACGGTCGTTTAAGATTTTTTGTACATAAATTATGACATTCAATGATATTGTCATAAGTTATTGTACTTTTATTAAATTAGTTTTATTAATGTATTGTAGTAATAATTAAATAACACAATTGAAAAAATAACAATTATTACTGCATTGAAAAGTGAGAATGATATTCATTTTAAAATAAAAAATTTCTTTTATAACAACAGTCATTTTAAAACGGAAAAAATATTTAATAACATGTTTTTATACTTGTGTAATATGAAGATCTAAGAAGTTATGAAAAACAAATTCTCAACATCCATACTGATACGATAATATCAATAATAATTAAAAAAATAATTAATTAAACGTAATTATAAACATATCTTATTTTAGAAACATCATTACTACAAATTTAAAAATATAGCTATGTAAGGACATTAGAAAATTTGAGTGAAAAAATATAGGAGCCATAAACAATAACGTGTGTTCCTAAAATTTGTATACATGTGTAACTAGATGAAAAAATATAGGAGTTGTAAATACTAATGCGTGCTCCTAAGTTTTAGGGGCATGCGTTTTTATCATTAATATTACAGATAAGTATGTGCTACAGCGTCTACGGCAAAAGTTTAAGATAATGCACAATGTCATGTTCTCTAGGAAAAAAATTTAAAATAGTTTGTTTGATATATTTATGGTTATTTGAGAATTTTTCTGAAAAAGATGATTATTTAAATAAAGAGAATCAGAACTGTGACAAAACATTATGAATGAATAAATAATGAGAAGACGTAAAGTGAGGTGGCACATTGAAGGCCCCAGTGGCACGTGTACAAGACGTGGAAAGTTTGGACGGTGTGGATTTTTCCATCTTTATATGGGAGGGACGGTGGCCAAATGGAATTGGCAACAGATTCAGTTTAGGTAACTGAAAGCCTTTTTCGTTGCCAACTGTAACGTCTTTATACTACCACCATAGGCTGTGGGCTTTACTTGGATGCTTGTGATCAGCACTTGCTCAATTGGGTCCCACCTACATATGCATTTTTTTTCCATTTAGTATAATTAGTTATCCATTCTCTTAATTTAATTTAATATTTTGATTTAATTCTTTGATTAAAAAACATAGTCTTATAATTTTATTTTTGTTATTTTATTTGTGATAAAAAGATTAAGTTTTAATGACGAAATTTGAGTTAACATTATTAAAAATTAATTTACAGTTTGAAATACATGGGTTTTAGTTTCGGGGAGAATCTTATAGTTTAAACGGTGTATGAATTTTTAACAATTTTTAAATGTTGGAATAGCATAAATCACTCTTGTGGTTAAAGGTAGAGGTTGACTCACATGTTGAGAGATTGCAAATTCAACTTTTATTAATGATGCAAAAATATTTTTAATGAATAATCTCTTTGAGTCTTTAAAGTCTGCTTTGATCTTGGTCTTTATAATACAATTCATCTAAACTTTGAAGTTTCATTAGATAAAATCCATAATATTAATAATTTTAATAGTTATATTTAAACTTTGAATTTTGCTTATTTATTTATTTATTATTTTTTTATATCTCGGTATTCGGCTCCTCCCACTAATTAGTGCATGTCCAATGAAAGTGTTTAATTAGTGCATGTTCAAAAATGTTTGAGTTCTACTAGTGAGGGACTTAAATATTTAATTTATAGAACTTTTTAATATTAAATATCTATTAAAACCACAATTTTAAAAATTAATTAATTAAAGGTAAAATTTCTATTATATTTTTACTTATTCTAAAACCCCAAATATATGGTCATAAAATAAATAGTAACAAAATTAAATATACAATAAAAACACCAATTTGTTCTTATTTTTTTATAAAACAAAACAACCATTACAATTATTATTTAAATCAAATACTATTTTATTATTCAACAAATGTTATTCTTCAGTCTTATATTAAGTGTTTCATTTGTAATATTTCATTTGACTCAAATTATTTTGTACATCTAAATACTAATATAATATTTATTAAAATATTTATTAATGTATTTTTTTATTAAGTTGATTTCGTTTAATATAAGATGGTTTATGTCTTTTTTTTTTACATTGAACAATATATTTAAGTGGAAAAATAAATTTTAAAATAAAAAACTACATATTTTAACTTTAAATTGAATCGATTTTGAAAAAGTTAATCAATTTTATTCGAGAGTAATCATTTCAAAATCAAGTTTACACGTTCTGATTCAATTTGTGTATCAAAACTTGAAATCAAACATAATCATCATACTCCTTTCTCTTATTTTCTTAAGGAAAAAGTGTAAAACCAAAGTAAGCAAAATCATTTACAACCTGTTATGGTGATCCTTGTAATATTATTTTAGGTTCATTGATCTCTTTAATTTCTGTCAACAACATGACATGTCTCCTTGAAAAGATTCTTCCAAGTGCCCATACACTCCTTTTCTCTCTTGCACAGTTTATTTCTACTCTTGAAGACTCTATATAAACCTCTCACTCTCCTCATTTCACTCACAACAATCATTCTTTCTCTCACCTTTCCTTCTTCTGCACCAGCTACCTCATACTTCTTTTTTTATTCCTCTTTCCATTCCAAAATGGCCACTGTTGAGGTAATAATTCAAATATATATATTATTTCCTAGATTTAGTTGTTATTCTAACTCTACATAGATATAGTTATATGCATTGCATTAAGTGTCATCTAAATACAATAATGTGTGATAAGTTATAACCGTGTTCCATAGTGATCTTGATCTTGCAAATGCACTAAACATTTTCCATTGGATCGATCAAAATGATCGACCCAATAGAATGTAAACAACAAGTTAACTAATGTAGATCTCTCTGTTTAATTATCATGTTCCAAAGTAACATAAACATAACACTTGTTGAACATTGGTGGCTAATGAAAATGGATTTTTCAGGTTGAAACACAGCAAGTAGTACCAACAATTGTGGCAGAAAACGAAACAGTTGAGGTAACTAAGGTGGACGAAACAACACCCACCTCCGAGGTTCTTGTCTCAGAACCAGTCACCACGGAACAGCCAAAAGAAGAAGCTGCCGTAGAAACAGCAGTAGAGAAAGAAGCAGAAACTGAAGTACCAGATAAAGTTGAAACTACAAAAGTAGCAGAAGAAGCCAAGCCAGAGGTAGAGAACCCGGCAACCGAAAAAGTTGAAGAAGTGAAAGAGGAGGCAACAACTGAGGAGGCTAAAGAATCTACTGAAACAGAATCAGCAGCAGCACCACCACCAGTCGAGGAGAACAAAGCAGCTGAAACTGCAGTGGAAGAAGTCACCACAGAAGTCACTACAGAAGCATAGACATTTGTTGTCAACTTTTTTCCCATGTCAAAGTTGATGAGAACTTTTCTATTTTATTTGTTTGGTATCTTTTTCCTTATTTCCAATGATCTTGTTGTGAAGGTATGTCTTCGAATATGGCTTTAAGGTTTATTATATTATAGTTATAGCCATTGAAGTTTGGGGATGATAATAGTTCCAACAAGGTTCAACTAGCTTGATTATTATGTATTTCTCCTGGTTTGAATAAATTATATTTACTTTTATTATTTTGCCACAAATCTGTCATAATTTTGGCACAGGATTTATGAAACAGGGGAAGAGTGCACCACAAGTTAATCAAAAAATAAGTTTATAGAAGGGGGATATGAAATACAATCACATAATCTATAATGGAACAAGGAAAATAACACCAAAATAATATACTTTTTAATAAAGTTGGTGTCATCTTAATGAGAATTTCTGAAACACAATCTCTAAAACACTACTTAATGGTGGAAATTCGAAATTCACATGTATCCTATAAAAACATAGTATGACCTATTTTGAGTTTCAACCAATACCACAAAGGCTGTATTTGCATTCTCGATGGAGACACGTGCCTGGTTGCATTGTATCTTAATATGCGAGAAAACTTATGCTATGTCAGACCAAACACACAGTAAGGTGTTCGAAAAAGAGTGTTCGAGAGTGCGTTGCTAACACTTCACAAACTTGACTGTTGTGGAACACTCTCGATGACGAACCAGCAGTTATTAAATAAAGTATAACATAGATATATAAATTTCTTTCCTCCTTCAAATCCTGTATTATTGATAATTTATCCATATAAACATTTGGCTATGATAAATAAAATTACATCCCTTGACTAACTTCCAAAACAGAACTTTGACAACTTTCTCAAAGTATCCAATTAGAGGACAACAGACGGGATGCTCCTATAGTCTGTACAAACCTGCATAACAATAATTCTATGTGCAGACAAGTCAAAACCAGTTTCTATCGAGTTTGCAGATATTTTTCACCAAGTGCCAAAACTACTGCCAATATGTTCTTGAGTAATGACTTTGAGACGAGCTTGCATGGCTGGCATTGATGAATAAGCTGGGAAACACAGCCGGTAAAAGCATGTATGAGATGAAGGAAGGTAATCGCCAGGTTCATGGGACTTGTAAATGTAGAGATGGGTGCCCAAACCACAGAAGCCTTCAACTGGTAAATATTTCACAGATGTCCAAAAGAAAAGGAGAATTTTCTTTTCTTCAGCTGTCATACTCCCCACTATCTGCCAAGTTTTTTCAAACATAATGTTAAAATATGAAATGTGAAAACTGAGCAGCATCTCTTTTCAAATCTTAATATACCAAATCATTTCTAAAACATTGCAGAACTACATATCCAGTATGCAATAAGAACTCTGTTTAAGAGATCAAATAAAGATTGGGGAAAAGTTAATATTCACATTTCTCAACAAAAGGTGTAATAATAACCTAGCATTTCGGATAAGTTCTCAAAGTTAATTTAATATATATTAGTAAGATTCAACAATTCTGCATAAAAATGTACTAGATACGTAATGTTTAAACGCGGTATGGAATCAGAATAAGAGCTTCTAGTGACAAATATTACACCAACAGACTTTGGTAGCAAAAATATGTATATTTTGAATTTATAAATGAACTTAAGAGAGATATTTGTAAATGATATGAAGCACATCAAAGACGAACCTATCAGGGCCAGAGGAAAGCAATAATATAAAAATAACATAGAAAAAGACTCTAGCATGACTGTTAACCAGGTTAGGAAAGACAACATTACAAGAGCAGTGTTTTAAAAAAACAATTAATTTAAGGAAACAGGAAACTTTAGATAAGGCAGTGATGCTTCCCAATAAGCAATAACACTCATAAGATTTACAGATAAAATAGAAACAAAGATGATAGGTCTGTGAGGTTAGAGTTCAATAATAGTTTTTCTTTTGTAATCGAGAAAGCTGGGATATGAGAGAAATCAGTTGTCAATAAATAAGAAATGTTCAGAGGTAGCAATATATGGACATTTCAATGTGAATTGGTTGCAGTCCTTAAAGTTCTGCAGTATTGCTCCCGCCTTGGATTTGTGGGGATCATTCTGGAAAATGATTCTACCATTTGAGGAACGATGCCGTTTGGTAGTTCTAAAATGGATTCCAACATTTACCTGAAAGAATACGACATGGCGGACCATTTAGAAGGCGGTACTCAAGCGGATCTAGCCATAATTTGGTCCATATATTTCAGTCAAGAGGTCAAGGCAGTACTCAAGATGAGAACTAGGAACCTGTGGTGCTTAAGGCAGAAGATGAAAAAAAAAGGAAGAAGAACAGGAGGAACTAGGGAAACTGGAACTGGAAGAAGAACCGGAGACCAGGATGAGACAAAGTCAGGATTTGAAAAGAACAACAGCACAAAAATGGGGGGAAAAAGAAGGAAAAAACCGGTGTCTTGTGTTACCCAGCAGTACGTGAAAATAAAATACTCTGTACACTACTTCCCATACATTTATAAGGTTAATTCAGTAAAAGTGCAATATTTTATGACAGCATTATTATTACATTTCTTAATCTGTGTGTAAAAACCTTAAACGCAGTCATTTTGAAACAGAGGGAGTAGCAAACAGTGGTTGATATTTTATAGGTTTCACTGAGGAAGTTGGAACGAAGAAAAGATTAAAGGAATGTACCAGCAACATCCATGGATAAGAGGATATTGTACAAGCTGATCAACACACGCCCATTTGCTGAACTACCGTAATCTTATTCAGTCACCGAGGAGGATTGACTAAAAATAACTGCAAAGTTTAGGGTCTTAGTCCCACGGGTAAGCTTCCCCTGCTGGAACTGCTGGACCATAGTGCTAGTCAGGTGAAGGAGAGGGTCATCACACAATGGGAGCGTGCAGCAAAGATGAGTTATTTATGAGGGTGCAGCAGATGTATTGATGGCTGTTGTATGGGTGGTGGCACTGATACCACGGTGAGGGTGTGAATGGCGTTGAAGCATTTTGGCCAATACTTTTACTCAATGGACCACCAAGCCCAAGATAATGAAAAAAAAGCATTTTGGCCAATACTTTTACTCAATGGACCACCAAGCCCAAGATAATGAAAAAAAGGAGTGAGCTACGGGCTAAAAGAGGTGTGTCTGATTTATTGGCTAATATTAAGCATCTTCAAACGGGCCACACGGCATATAGTGATACAGTAACTTCATTGGACATTGTAGAAGGTTCTGTCATCTATGGCTAGGGACAGGCAACAGGGGACGGGGGGGGGGGGGGGGGACCTGAAAGCGGGTAATCCAGCTAAGCCTCCAGCACACAGGAACTTCTAGACTCGAGCCCGGAAAAAAATTACTCTTGGAGGCAGGACTTTCAGTTGCGCAAGTGAAATTGAATTTCTGAGAGAAATAAATGCCAAGTCATTTGGTTGTCCTTGATTTGTTAAATCTCTTCACCTTTGAGGGCAGGGTTAAACTTTAAAGTTTGTTAAGGGATTTGGATTTGGTTCGTTTGTTGGAGTTATTAGTTTGTTTGTAACAGAGGGGGTCGGAATAACTGGAGAAATGAGTTGCCTGTAATGTAAATAAGAGCGGTTAAGGCTTAAGAGGGAGGTATATCTAGTCATTTGAGTGAATTGAGGCCTAAGGGCATGGAAGCTACATAGTCATAAAATTCTGCAGAGTTGTAATCAAGGAGATTTTTTCTTGTGGTAAAATACCTGTTTGTATCAAATGATTGTCTTAGAGACTAACACAGTGGGTACTTATTGCTCACTAGTCACTACAGACGGAAAAAAGCATAGAAGATACAAAATCGTTGTGGAATAAACATTACATTATATTTTTAAAAATATATATTTAAAAATATATATATATAGCACTGATACATACCTCCCAAAACCAAGATATCTGAATATCAGTCTCTTTATAACCATTATATTCAGTGTGTTTTTTCCAATCTTCAACGGAAATGGCATCTTTGCACCCACGCAGCATCCAATCAAGATCTTCTGGATCTAAACCTTGAAAGAAGGACGTCTGGAGGTCTGTACTTGAAAGAATATCAGCAAAACCTTTGGCAAAGTGTGACACCTGCTGAGATATGGATGTTACAAAGCGATTCTGTATAAGAAGATAAATATACCTCGCCCTGTTCTTACTAGTAACTACAACATCTTTTCCACCGGGACAGAGCTCAATCGCTTTCCTGTGCCCTAATTCATCCACTTCTCTAACAAACGTCAGTCCTAACGCATCTGAATCAACTAGATCAGAATCCATGTCTAATATCTGCTTGCAGCTTCTATAAAGCTCAGGATCTGCATCCCTTATATCTTCAACAGAAATAGACTTTCCAGCCAATTGCAAGAAAAACACCCGATCAAAAACAATACCTACTTGCACCCCATGCATCAAAGCTAATGCAATAACTCGACCACAGAAGCTGAAGTACTCAAGATGCAGAGGATGCACCTTGGAAGCTTTAAACAAATAGACAAAGGATGAGTTAAACTTGGTTATCTTGAAATAGTTAAGAATTATAACGGAAACAAGATATACAACAATGTAGAAGAAAATTATCAACTCAGGCCTCAAGCAACAAGTAACCCTTAGTGGCAAAAAGCGCATGTGGTTGGACATGTTACATAATGTGAATGTATTGCAATCGGTCAGTTTGAATGCATGAATGTTGAATACATGAATGTTGAGTAATAGACACATGAAAATTGAAAAGTTAATGCATCATTCTTCAAAAAGTAACTTAAGGAAATCTACTAAGATGCGCTAGATCCTCAAACATGATAATGATATAGATGCCCCAAAACAGTTCCAAAATGGTTGAATCAGATAACTAAATTTAAAATAAATGCAGAAAAATATATAAAATTTCATACATAAAAAGAGGTTTTATATCGTGGAAGCATCTGCGATGGATGCCTATTTTGCCTAATTTGAAGTTTTCCTTTCACTGATATAGACTTCAACACTGCCAAAAAATTGAAGCATTGTGGAACTACTCTATAAGCCAGTGTAGATCCATCCTCCAAGGATTTCACCCAATTGAAGCGCATTTCATGTAAGAAAAAACTAATGAGTAATGATAGGCAAACAAATCATCTGATTTCTACTAAACTATTGTTTGTCTACACAGCTACTGAACCCTCACTTTTCAACTGCATTTTGTAAGGCTAATGATGCAAGGCTTTTTTTTTAGCTCTCTTTTTATTCTCTTGTTGTGTCACAATTGTTTCTCAGATACGTGATTGTGACATACTGAGTAATTTTTTATGCAAAGGTTTTAAACCTCAAATAATTGTTATGTACATTTCATAATCCTAATAAAGATCATGCTAAATATTGTCCATGTCAGAAAATGCAAGCCAAAGTTAAAAATTTTCAAATTTCAACTTGAAAATACTCCCAATGTATGGAAAATAGCAGAGGTGGAAAAGTACATTCAGAATTTTGGATGAACTTACCAGAATTAGGGAGAAATCTTGTTTGATCATTTGGGCAGGAAACAAAAAGAGCATTTTCCTGATTGAATATTGCTTGACAAACCAAAAGGAACCACTCCCTCAGCACACCGGGGCCAGTGGCTTCCTCATTTTTGAATTCCATAAAGAGGCCAGCACGCAGTGACTCAGGCTCGGCCCGTGCAACGTATTCAAAAGATTCAGTTAACAACTGAGACCTGTCAATGAGCATCTCATGTAGCTCTTCATAGTCTTCCTTAACCTCCGGGAACATCATCATGGCCAAATGCCTCCTAGCCTCGAAATTGGTGACATCCTTGTGCTCGAGAATCCACTGATGCTCGTCGCTCCTCTTTGCATATTTAACAAGCAGCTGACACAGCACAGTCTTTTGACGCGTCAAAACGCCCTGGAGCTTTTCTGAAGCACCATCATAAAGTTTAGAAATCTTATGCAACTCCTTCAAAACGGAAAGATAGAGAGAGCATGCAGGATGAAAATAACTCTCCTCGTGAGACATTTCCTTGTTAACGAATCTCTTATCCATTTTTTGAAGGCAGATTTCAATTTTGCACAACAACTGATCATACAACAGAAAAAGGTATTCAATCTCTTTAAGAACCAAGCTGTTCCTGCCGACTTTGTGGTAAGGTACAAAACCACGGTGAGACTTTTGCTGCTTGATTCCATTCCTCACAGGAACTAAAAAGGCAGCAAAATCACCAACATTGCTCGTCACAGGACAAGCAAAGGAAGGTGTATCAATGCTCATATCCAAATCCATCAACAAACTATCAGCAAGTTCGCGAACAAAGGGGAATAAATCTTGAACTAACACCGAACCTTTGTCATTCTGATCCTCAGAAGAAGCCAGTGTAATGTCAGCGTCTTCCAAGAAAAACCCCAAACAATTCCGACAATAGAGATACAAAGGATCATGAGTCCCTACTCTCCTAAGCAATTTACAAAACTCCAACGCCACGCGCGCAGCCTGAGTATGAAATGTCTCGGACAATGTAGTCTTACAACAATTCAAAAAATGCCTAATACAAGTATCAGAGCAGGACTTGTTACCTGTAAAAGGCGAAACATAGAGAGTAACAAGAATTGAAATCGCCGAACAATTTGTGAAAATCTGAAAATACTTAGTAGCAGAATCAGCATCAAGTTTAGGTTTTGGTGCCAAAGCCAGATTAACGTAAGTAGTGAGTAAATTCTTCACAGTTTTAACAGGATCCTGAACATTCCCACCAACACAAAGATCATAAGCAATAGTAACCATATCATTCACAACTTGCCACGCTTGAGGATGCTCCGTACTCCGCATTCGACCAACTAGTTCAAGAATCACATCCTTCTGTATACCACACTCAGCCAGAGTTTGTTCCCACTGAAGCTGTTTACCTTTGAAAATCAACCTCTGTTCGAAAAGAGGAATTCTCTTCATTTCATATATTCGTTCATGAATTGATTGCACAGTGTTTTCAGGAAAAGCGTTCATCACAACGCTGTATCCTTCTGAAACCATGCGAATGAAAAAACAAACCGGTCCTCTATTCTTCAATAAACCATCGCCACCGCCACCGCCGCCACGGCAACCTCCACCGCTCCAAGGCTTAACTGTGGTTTCCGTCGTCTCCTCTTTTCTCATTCTCACATACACTAAGTCATCATCTAACACGCTTTCATCGTCATCGTCTAATTTCCGTTTCGACGATAAACGTTGTTGTTGTTGAATAGGGGTTTCGATCGGAGTCATTTGTTTTTAAGTTAAGAAAAACATTATCGCCGTCGTCGTCGTTGGTGTCGCCGTCACTCCCTCCTCCTTCCACCACCGTTGATTGAATTTTTTTTTTACAATCTTATAATAATAATAATAAAAATAAAAATAAAATTATAACTGTTTTATCAAAGCTAGCTGAGAGTGAAAGTGAAAGAAGAAGAAGAATCGGAATTGGGAGCGACGCGATCTTAGAAATGAAAATATGAACTCACATAGTGTGTGTTTTTTGTGTGTGAGCGTTTTTTTTTTTTTTGGGTTTTTCTTTTTTTTCTTCTGAGTTTTGGTTTTGATTTTGATTTTGGGTTTGGGTTTGATTTTTATTACCGTCCTCTTCTTTTCTGATTCTCTGATTCTTCTCACAAACAATATTTATTTTATATTTTAATTTTTTTTTCTTTTTGAGTTATTTTAATTGGATAATTTAATTGACCTTCGAAACGGTGTCGTCTCCTATCGAGCAAACTCAGCGTGTTTGTCTATTTTGTATTTTCTTACGGTTTACGTGAAGTGGGTCCCATGCGCTTTTCTGAACACCTATTTTTGTTTTTACAAATTTCCAAGAAAAAGGTTTTTTTGTTGACTAAAGATAAAAATAAATTTAAATGGTGGTGGGTGACATGTGATAAGTCTAAAAATTTTAATTTTTTTTTTTAAGCTTTAACTTTTTGAAAAAGTCATTTTATGAAAGGAGTTACTTGCCATTTTCCTTTCTTTTTCATTTGAAGGTTCCTGTTGATTAAAATAAATTATTTTAATTATAATTGTTTTCATAATAATATATAAATAATTTATTATCTGGAAATATTTAATTATATACTTGATAGTAATATCTATATCTAGATAAATGATTTTTTTTCTTTTTATTATATTTTTTATTTAAATTAATATATTTATAGTAATTTTTTATTAGTTAAATAGTTTATTTTATTATAACTCCAAATTTGAATAAAATATTATTTGATATAATCACAATTTAATTTTAAACTAATTTTAGCTAATATTTATATTCATTCTTTTTATAAAATTTCTAAATTATTGTTAACAAAAAATGAATTAAGACTAATTAAATTTGAACTAAAATGTAATAATTAAAATGAAAATTAAGATATTAGTTTTTTTTTCTTCAATTCACAACTTTATTTTAATTTAAAAATAAAATAATAAAAAATATTAGATATGCACAAACAATTGTGATTGAAACTCAGATATTATAATTCAATCTAATAATAACAATTTTTTTTAGTTGAACTAAAATTTGTTGATATCAATTATTATATTTATTTTAAAAAAACAAAGAGATGCATGTTAAATAAATAATATTAATGTAAGAAAAAAAGTTATATTAACCATAAACTACTATCTTTTTTATCCTTAATATTGATGTGTTAACAAGACTACGTTTTTTTGAATTGGAATGAGTATATTATGAAACTAATGCAAATTATTAATTTGGATAAAATCAATTTTGTCATGGACTAAAAAAAAAAAAATATATATATATATATATATATATTAAAATTGGTCTCTGAAAAGTTCTAAACAAACTATGATATTTAAAAAATGTAAAAACTATTGCAAATTAAATTGATTTTTAATGTTTACTAAATTTTTATTTTCTTTCGTAAAAAGAGACAAGACTTGACTTATGAGATTTTATTTTTTCTACTTTTTAAATTTTAATTTCTAAAATAAAAATTTTAACTTTATAATTTTTTAAATAAAAAACTATAGAATATTGTCGTCTCTGTTTTTAAGAAAAAAAATAAAAACAAACATTAATCCTCCTTTAATTTGGAAAAACCTCTCATTCACATCTTTTTTAATTTTTATATTGATTGTTTCGCATTGATTTCTATCAATCTTGAATACATGATTAATTTAATAATTCATTCGAATTGATTTTGCCTGTTTTTAAAATATTGTTATAATATTAGTATAAATCCAACGTATCTAATATTTCTATAAATTTAATTTTCACGTATATTTATAATTCAATATATTTAATATTTCTATAAATTTAATTTCCACATACATTTAATCAATCATTAAAACTTTTATATTATATTATATATTTTAAAAATGGATAATGATGAGATGTGTTGATAAGTTGTAATTATTTTACAATACTTAATGGTGAATATTTTTAACCTAAAAAAATTAAATGGATTAAATGAATGTTAAAAAATTAACTATAAATTTTAATATTTAATTTTAAAAAATAATATTACAAACGTTAAACTCTTGAAAGATAAACTTGTCAGTTTCTCTTTTACTGAAAAAATAAATAAATAAATAAACTTATCGGTTATCATTTCTCTCAAACATATTTTTTATTTATTTCAACACAACTTATTTTATGAATAACTTAATAATTAAGTTTTTAAGATCACTTCTATATAAAATACTGTTTTAAATAATATTTATTTTTTTTTATTTATAATATTTAGAAAAAAAAGGAAATACATTGACAGTGTAAAATATTTTATACTGTCAACCAATTACAATCATTTATCGGAATAAAACATATTTTTATTTTAAAAATATTGAAATTACATGACAATTATAGATATTTTAATTAGTTGTATGTGTAAAATTGTCTTGCACTAATGGAACATTACCTTTAAACCCTAATATTTATCATCATTGAAGAAAAAATAAACTTAATTAAAGATCTATTAATTAAAAATACTTAATATAATTTAGAAATATTTTTAAAAAAAAAATAAGAGAATCAAATATTTAAGTTAGAGAAACACTACTATTCATAATAAGTTATATATAATTAAAAATTAAAAAGATTAAATGAAAAATCAAAAAATAAATAAATAAATAGGTGTGTCATGGATTCAGGTATGGTATCCATAGAGCTATTTGGCACGTGTTAGGGGAAGATTTTTACTATGGAGCATTAAACATTGTGGGATTTTCCTTTCTAGAACAAGACCTTTGTGAGAGACGCACCACATAGTTACCCAAAACCTTAAGGTGGTAGGTGTGTGTGAGTTCTCCTACTTATAAATGTTTAACTCTCCACATTTATAATCAATGTGAGACAATTACATATACTACTCACATTTGCTATACTTAACAGCATGCGATACAACATTTTTATAAAATCTAAAATATGATTAAAAATAAGAATTTTATATAAAGTATATTAATAGATAATTTTTTTAAATAAAGCTTATATGATTAAAAATAAAAGGTGATATACAAAAAGGAGAGGATTATGTAGGGGTGTTTGCAATGCGGTTTGGGCAGTTTCGAAGTTAAAAATCACCTGAATCATAAGAGAAAAAAGTGTGTGGTTTGATTTGTTTCGATTGACTTTTAGAAATAAAACTAAACCAAATTAATGCGGTTTAATTTGGTTCGGTTTTTTATAAAAAAAATTATTGAGTCGTAAATACATATATAAAAGACAACGTAGCTTTATATTTAGTCATTTATACATTACCAAATAACAACAAAACTCATCATATTTTAATAACTTTTCATTTAATATATAAAAATCATATTAGACAAAAGTGGAATAATAAACGTAAAACAATAGCATAAAAAAAATTTTAAAACATTATAAAGAAACAAAAAAATAAAAAAATGAGGAGATGAAAGATTAGTGAAGATGAAAAAGAAAAAACATGAGAGATGAGAGATTAAAGAATAAGAGGTGCGGTAAAAATAAAATTAGAAGAGAGAACAGTAAAATAAAAATGAGAAGATGAAAATAAAGAATATAATAGAGTAAAGATTAGAGAAAAAGCGGCGAGATGTACTAGGCAAAAAATGGGTGACATTTCTATGAGAGATTTGAGAAGCTTGAAACTAAAATCCTAAATATGAGGAATAGGAAATCGTTCGTAATTGTAAGTTTAATGCATAATAAGTTTGAGTATCGTTGGATGTGGGTTAAGTGAAGTTTGGGTTTTAACATAATGCAGTTTGATTCGGTTTGTAAAATACAAACCGCAAACTGAACCAAACTGTGTGGTTTAGTTAAAAATTGACACAAACGCATCTGAACCAAATGCGACTTTTTATGATTTTTGGTTTGGTTTTGTTCGGTTTGTGATTTTCTATTGGGCGATTTGGTTTTTAACACCTCTAGAACTAGGTCAAGACCCTCTCAATAGAAAAATCTAAAGAAACTCCATCAAAAAAATTTCTTTACAAAATCACTTCTAATTGCTATAGGGATGAAGTCAAAAAGAGTTAGAGTATGGGATGTACGACATACACTAGCAAAAACCTACGCACATGAGTTTCCTTCCCTAAATATATGAGTAATAACAAACGATATAATAACAATGATTTTTTACAATGAAACCATTTATTTTTTGTTGCCAAGAAACCAAAGAACCTTTTGAAAAAGCTTAGATAATAATGAGGGAGTCACTCTCAATCCAAAGCTTAAGTCATGCTTTATCCCTAGCGATTTCAATGGCTCTAAAAATCGAAGAGAATTCCGCATGTAAGGAATTGGCACTCATAGTAGGCTAAACAAAATCTAATATAAAATTACCTTTTGAGTCTCTAAAGATCCAACCACAACCACTTAGTTAAGAAACAAATGATCCATTGCAATTACATTAAGCCAGTTGTTAATTGGAGGTTGCCAAATGACTTCTTTCACCCTTAGAGCACAAGGAGAGTGGAGGTTGACTTTAAAGGATTTGATCAAGTTGAATTTCAACATGGAAAAGGAAGAGAGAAGCAAAGTGTTGTTTCCAGTAATTCTGATTTAGGCAGACATATTTACCATATTTGTGTGAAGAGGACGGGTGTTACTGTGAAATTTATCCAAGTTTCGAATATACCAAATGGAAGAGAAAATGAATACTATAGTAGTCTTAATGAGGGGATTTACTCTTGTTACTGCTGTGGCACGAAAAATACCCGAGCGCATCACACGATCGATGATACCATAGTGTCGCCACCGAATTTTATTTATTCCAAAAGGAAAGAGAAAATATCGA